AAGGGGCGAGTGACGGCCGGAAGAGCTAGGGCTGGTGCTTCGCCCAGTTGTCTTAAGTTTTTGGAATGCATCCTCTTGTTCAGGGCCCCAGCATAACGGTCCTGTGGGGGTCCCCCTTCAGTGCCATGTAGAGTGGCCCAGCAGTAGCCGAGAATCCAGGGATCTGTAGGCAGCAGGAGCCCGCAGCACTCAGAAACTCTCTCAGTTGCGTCTGGGACTCTGGGCGCGGGTACTGGAGGATTACCTCTTTTCTAATGGTTCCTAGCCTCCTTTTACCTCAGCTCAAGTGATACCCCAAGTATGTGACCTCCTCTTGGCCGATCTGTGCTTTCTTTAGTGAGACCTTGTATCCTGCTTCCTGTAAGAGTTGGAGTAGCTCCTCTCTTCTGGCTCTGCATGCCTCCAGAGTGGGGACCGCCACAATATGTCGTCTACATACGGAGGGTGGTGCAGTCTTTTGGTCGGCAGTTCTCTAGGTCCCGGAGCCAAGGCCTCCCCAAAGAGAGTGGGGGAGTTTTTGAAGCCCTGTGGGAGCCTAGTCCAGGTCAATTGTCCTTTTGCTCCTGTGTCAGGGTCCTCCCATTCGAATGCAAACAGTGACTGGCTGGCCTCTGGCAGCTGCAGACAGAAGAAGGCATCTTTAAGATCCAGACATGTGAACACCTTGGCAGTGGGTGGAATCAAACTCAGCAGAGTGTACAGACTGGGGACAACTGGATGAATGGTCTCTGTTGCCTCGTTCACCCTGCACAAGTCTTGAACTGGTCGATAATCATTGGACCCTGGCTTCTTGACAGGAGCTAGGGGGTGTTCCATGCTGATTGTACTTCTTTCAGGATTCCCTGGTCTCACAGGCATTGGATGTGTGGTGCAATTCCCTTCCTGGGGTCTAGAGGTATTGGATATTGCCTTTGGTGCACCGGGTTGGCTCCTGGTTTGATGGTGACCAATATTGGAGGGTGCCCCATTGCTAGCCCAAGTCATGCGTCTTGGTCCCAAACACCTGGGCATTGCTCCATGAGATGAGCCGGGAATGGTTGAGGTCCAACGGGTTTGTTGTCCCTCGGGGTGTGTATGCGCCACTCTTCTTCAAGACTAACTTCCAAGGTTAGCACTGTCAAGGTGCTCCTGTCAGGCAGTCCCAGGTCCCTAGATACTGTGGTGCCCAGTTTAGAAAGTAAGTCTCTTCCCAGAAGGGGACCTGGGGCCTCTGGCACGTACAGAAATTGGTGTCCACCAACTGTGCATTCTTGGGGTTTGCAGAACCAGTACTTCTTAGTGTTTCCAGTGTCCCCTATAATGGTGATTGAGTCCTTAGTGAGCCGACCAGTTGGAGTGGTCATGGTGGAAATGGCTGTCCCAGTGTCCAGAATGAAGTCTATTTGGCGGCCCTCAACGTCAATCTTGACCATGGACTCCTGAGGGCCAATCAAAAGGGAGCCCGGTTGGCCTCAGTCTAACTCATTTCCCCAGGCTCTAGGTTGTAGGCTTCCTTGGATTTGGTGGCAGCCACTGTTACTTTTTTCTTTTCCTTTTTCTCCTTGTTAGGACATTCATTTTTCCAATGTCCCTCCTTGCAGTATGCATATTGGTTTTTCCCAAGAGGGTTTTTCCATCCTTTCCTGTAGGGTCCCCTCTCCGGCCTTCAGTCTTTTTGCCTCCCTCCTTGAGGCCTATTGCCAGAATCTTTGGCTTTTTCTCCAAATATTTTTCCTTTTCCCTTTTGGCCATTTCTTCTCAGTTTGCTACCACCTTGGCTGCTATGCTAATGAGTTGGTCAGTGTTGGCACCTGTAAAGTCCTCCATCGTTTGTAGCTTTCAGCGAACATTGGGGCAGACTGTTGGATGAAGGCGGTGTTAATCACGGATTGGTTCTCGGGGGCCTCGGGGTCAAACGGGGTGTACCAACGATAAGCACCACATAACTGGTCATAGAACTGGCTAGGCAGCTCATCAGGCTTCTGTGTGACTTCACTGATCTTGGTAAGGTTGGTTGCCCCTCTTGCCCCTTGGTGGGCTCCCTCCAGGATAGCTTGTCTCATGTGCTGGATGATTGGAGCCCATCTGGAGTGTTGGGGTCCCAGTCTGGTCTGGTGTCTGGATTCTCTTATCTGCCCACTGCTGTGATTTGCAGTCTGTGGTAGAGCTTGTGTGATTAGCCAGGCTCTGGCTGCCTGGTATACTTGTCTGCGCTCATCAGAAGTGAAGAAGGTGGACATGAGTTGATGACAGTCATCCCAGTTGGGCTGGTTGCTGTGCATGATGTTGGTTAGGAGCTCTATCACAGCTTGTGGCTCCTCTGAGTATGCTGGGGTATGCTGTCGCCAGTTCAGGAGGTCGGTGGTGGTGAATGGCTGGCTGATACACGTATTGCATAGATCCAGCCTCGTATGACCCATCTGCCTGGGGTAATGGCGGCCTGGGAGCCTGACGGGGGCATAGAGCTGCAGCTGGGGCCCCTCCATCCTTACTTGTCAGCCTCCCAGAATTTGGTGACCTTCCCCAATGGTTCATCTCTCCCTTTGGGGCCATTGGAGGTAAAGAGGGGTATAATGAGGGAATTGCTGGGTGACATGGGTGGGGGTCTGGGACTGATGTTTCCTCCTTTTCATTGGAGTCTGCTGCATTGGACTGAGATCTTGTGGAGGCCGGAGTGGCTGAGGGCACTGGAAGAACAATGGTGGTGGATCTGATGATTCAGATTCTGAGGTGTGGTAGACTTCAAATTTCTTTTCTTTTACTTTGCTGTTAACCAAAACGGCTGTGTACCTCTGGGGGGCATGAAAATGGAGGCAGTGAGGCAGGTGGGCGGCCAGGATGAACCAGGAGTCCATGTAAGGAAACTGGTCTGGATGGCCTGGGTCCCTAAGGACTGTGTCTCTGATGTGAGTGATGATAGCCAAGTCTAGAGTGCCCTCTGCTGGTCATCCTGTGTTAAAGGCGGGCCATTCCAATTTGCAGAGTCTCTGCAGCTTAGCTGGTTTCATTTTAACCCCATAGTCACCAAAACAACCTTCCCTAAAGTTAGCAAGCATAGTCTGGAGCACCGTCGGGCACTTTGACCCAGAGGAGCCCATTTTATATGTGCCTGATAATTGCTGATGTTGCAAGACAGACAAAGGAGCGGGGATGTCTCATGGTGAGGCCACAAAGATGCTGTCCTGCTCTCCTGGTCGCAACCCCAAACAATGAGGTCAGATGTGACTTAGCTATAGTGGGATCAGCCCGACAAGATGACTTACATCAGGTGCTAGCCCAATCCCACCGTAGACCATATGTCAATCACCATGAAATTGCAGGAGGAGCCCACTCGGACTCTGTACCCTTCAGGGCACCATAAGGGTGCCCAGCTTGGAGTCACAGATTCGAGCTTGAAATGCAAGTGAGTCAAGCCACACAGTCAGTCACACACCATTCACTCAGTTTAAAATAATCAGTCCCTATTTATTTCTCCTAAAATCCTGGCTAGCCTTAAACTCAGTTGACCAGAATCACATCGGTCCCAGAGGAAGGGGACCCATCACATCAGGGTTCAGCTGGTCCCCTGCAGAGGATCAGTCCACGCTGGCTCCTTACACTGACTACCCTGGGGTTCCTACCTGATCCAGATGTCTGGTGCAGGTCTCCATTTTGCTCCAGCAGTCTGAGGGCCTGGTCCTTGGCACCGCAGCCTCTTTCACTCATCTGGAAGGAGACCCCAGACTCACATCGGGAGTGTGCACTTCCCAGTTCCAGCAACCTCTGCAGGCTACAGGGCCAGGGAGTGGGGACCCACTGCCCAATGGGGCGTGGTGGTCTCTGTCTCGCTGGGGCCTCCAAAATGTTGCAGAAATGTGACTGACCTGCGAGAATAAGACTCAAACCCAGGTGACTGGAGGAAAGGAAGTTTATTACGCCAGTGGGCCAGCACCTGGATATCTCCAAAATGGCACCATCGCCGAGCTCAGGGTATCTACAGGAAAGTAGCAGCAAGCAAGCAGGGAGTGTAGAAGCAGACTTGGCAGTTAGCTTTTCAAGGTTACAATATATCATGTCAGCACAGCTGTGGACAAGGCTGTCTGCAGTTTTAGCGAGATAGCTGGATGCAGGGGCCCCGGCACGGGAAGGGCTTTACTCATCTTTGATCCTTTCCCCAGCTTTGATCTTTCTCCAGTTTCCTTACCAGGGTGGATTTTTATAGTTGATATATCAAAGTCATTTTCATATTTCTGTAGAAAAAATTTTAAGATTTACTTGACAAACTATCAATATTTTAAGAGCTGTAATTGTCTAAGCTTTCTAATTGTATGCTAAGCTTTCTGATTCTTACCAGAGCTGCTTTTTCCTGGCAAAGCTTAAACATTAGTCTCCAATCAGTTAGGTTAATCTCTAATTTTATAATATAATTAAATTCATCTGACCTGGTTACTGGGTGTATTTCAGACATCAGACTGATACTTTTCATGAAGCCACTAAGAATGTTTCAATTTTTAACTCTGACCTTTTGGAAAGTTGACTCATAAAAGCAAGGCTGCTACAGACTGTGGAGTGGAGCAGTTAGGAGCTGTAGGCCAAAGGGTACATTTTCATTCATAAGATGAAAAACTCTGAAAATCTGATGTATATCTTTGTGACTATATTTCATTGTACTTTATTGGTTACTTGAAAAGTAAGTACTCTCTTGCTGAGAGTAGATTTTCAGTGTCTTCAACACGTAAGGTAGCCATTATGTGTGGTGATGGAATCATTTTACAGTGTATGGATAAATCAATGCAATTTTTGTCAATTTTGCCTAAATAAAGCTAGGAAATTATTGATTAAAAACTGACCTTTTGGAATCAGTCTTTCTTTAATCTGCTAGTTATACTTTTCTTGTATTGTTTCTTTCCTGAAACAGTAACAAAGATTCTTTAAGAAGTACCCTGACTTATTAATGTGTTTTCAAAATGTAAAATGGCTATAAAAGGTATATAGGGCAAAATGCCTTAAAAAAAACTAATGACATTTCTCTTTATTTATAGAGGTACTTTCTTGTTGGGAGCAACCATGCAGAAACAAAATACCGGGTCTTGAAAATTGATAGAACAGAACCAAAAGATTTGGTCGTAATTGATGACAGGGTAAGTATCTTCTAAGCCTGATTACAAACAGAAATGTTCGTATGTGGTGTTTAAAGGATATGAAAAATCCTTGCAGCTTTTAGTGACGTATTATTTTTTTTTATCATACACCTAAAAGTTAGCTTTTTCTTTTTTTTTTTTTTTTGGTTGACTAGAATTTGAATCCTTAATCTATTTTCTAGAAATTACTGATGCCAAGAAGCATGCCAGAATTATACTTTGTCTTTCAACTTGATTGTTTTGGAAAACACACTCTTCAAATAATATAATGAATATATTTTCTTAAAGAGCTGACAGTTTAAGGATTCAGTGTAACTTAATATTGCATCTTCCAAATAGAGTGTTTATTACTGTGCTTTTCATATGAAGCTACTTGAAGTCCAGAAAGACTTCTATGTTAAAGACTTTATTATGCCACTAAAAATCACCTCTAATACCTCTTCAGATGACTTGCTGTACTCTAAAGAAATGGGAAGTGATTCCTACCCAGACATTTTATTATCCAGAGTCAGGACTACAATTAGAACTAAGTTAAGTGGCACAGAAACATGAAACTGTTGGTCAAAGTGAAATACAGCATAGCAGTGTTGAGTAGTTAATTTTAGCTTTTTCAAATGAAAGAACTTGGCTTGCCCTTTGTTCTGAGGCTTCTATTTCTGAATCCATGTAGATTCCTGGTTTCTCAAGTATATACGTAGCTATAGTTTGTAATCCTTTGCAAAACTATTTTCTGTGTTATAATAATTTTGGATAAATTCTTTATTATTTTTTTGCAGTACTCCTGAAAGACCGTCCCCCACATTGCTTGGTTGCTTTTATTAATATAATATAATGGTTCTTGACCTTACATGGGAGTGGGCATGATTGATCAGGGAGGCCTTTGAGAAGCTAACAACTGTGGGCCTTCTCAAAAAAATGCACAAATATCCAAATAATGCTGCAAATTATTTTAAAGGATTCACAGACTTATGGAAATAGGTCTGTAGATCACTTCAATCTCTGAATTCCTGTTTCCTAACATAAGGTTTCAACCTAATTTTTTAGTATAGCAATGTAATCCAATAACCAACCTCATTGCTAATGTTAAAGAACTTGTTGGCTTTTTGAAATGATAGCTTAGTCATACATTATATAGTTTATGAAATAGTTAATGATTCTTATAAGCAATTTTTAATTTTCAGGGGTAAACAAAAATAATCTAAAGCATAAACATAACCTTACTCTTAATTGCTATGCTTAATTGTAGCACGTGTATACTCAACAAGAAGTGAGGGAACTTCTGGGCCGCTTGGATCTAGGAAATAGAACAAAGATGGGACAGAAAGGATCCTCTGGGTTATTTCGAGCTGTCTCAGCTTTTGGTGTTGTAGGTAAGACGGATGCCTCTCTCTGACTACTTTTTTGTTTGTTTGTTTAATAGACTACTTAATGAGAGCTTATAAGGCTATATGGCTTTATAGTCTTACTCATCGTCTTTGGCTTTGATTGTTGAAAACTTAACTATCCATCAATCAGATATCAAGTAGCATTTATAAAACATCAGATTATGTGCTCAGCACTGTTCAGTTTTATACAGGATAGGGACAAATATAGAAATGTTTTTGGGCCTTTGAGAAGTCTGTTGTCTGGCTTGTTGTGGAATGAAAAGGTAAAACTTAGCTTGGACTGTAAATATCTGCCCTGTCATTCTACAGCAAGAATGACCAATACAGTAAAGCTAGCTTCAATATGAACAGACTGCAGCAATAGAGCGTTAGGACTCTCTTCTTTGCATGCCCACTACTTTCTTACTCACCAAGAAACTGTCTTTAGAATCACAGACCATCAGAAACGTTGCTGTTTGAAGTTGTGGGAGGAAGATAGGGCATCTCACTCTTAGCTGAATGATGTGAGTCACGACGACACAGAAGCAGCTTCAGTTTACAACTCAGGTGCAGAACTTCAAATAAGGTGTTCTGAACACAGTACTCCTTAGCTATGCTAACTTCATTGTTTACAAGGCAACAAGACTTCAGGTTTTCTTCGTAGTTCAGACTTGATGTTGGTTTCTTTAAGTACAGTCTACTTTGGGTTGAGCCTCATCCTTTAAATTTATCAAAGCTCTGTTTCCCTTTCCTTTTCTTTAGTGAAATGCTTCCCAGTTTTTCAGTGTGGTAGGTTGATAAACTTGTTTTTACTGTACTATTGACTTGTTCCTGATTGGGGTAGAACAGAGACAAAATTCAATGCATACAAAGCAATTCCAAGATTATAATTAAGAGCAAACTGTAGAATAAAAGTTTAATTTTGTTAGAGATTACATAAGTGGTAGATAACTTGGACCTTGAACAGTCAGAAAAGATTTCCTGAGTAGATGAGAGTCAAACTGGACCCTGACAGTGGAATAAGATATGGATAGATACAGGGAAAAAAGGAGGAGACTCCAGGAGAGGTGACAGCAGAGACACAGGCATGAAGATGCCCACAGAAGCTGGAATGTTGGGTAAGGTGAGGCTAGATTGTTCAGGGACTTGGAAATGTGGAAACCAATTCAGAAAACAATTATATCTCAGGGTTTCTGCTGCCAGAACGTTATTTTGAGAAAAATTATCTGTTTCTTAATCCTATTGGACTATATGTAATATTGGCCAAGTAGTTTGTACAAATGTTAACATTTAATGTGGACTTGTCTATTCTATATAGTTTCTAGTTCTTGGGTTTTCTGACTAGCACTTTCTATTTTGACTTACTATTATGTTATTATTATTATTTTATTATTTTACAGTTCTGGGGATTGAACCCAGTGTTTTGTGCTTATATACTCTGCCACTTGAACTCTGTCCCCAGTATAATTGATTTGTTGCAATTATATCCTTCCATGTTTGGAGTTGTTTTTCCCAGTGTGCTCTCATAGCTTCTGTATAACTCTTTTAAGTCCCTTTTGGGTCTTAGGTGGTTGCCAGGGGAGGAAAGAGTGATATGGCATGACTGGCTTCTTTTCCTGGCCTCTTTGATACTCCTGCTAAGTCTTGAAAAGTCCTTCAAGGTTACATGTTGATTGGATAAGTGTTTATGGGCTTGGTATGTCCGCATATGTCATGTGAGTTCATGTGTTTAAACTATAAATTCTATATATGTCAAATTCCACTTGAAAGTCCTCCTTATATTGTAAATTTAAGAAAAAAACTTGGAAAGAGTGTGTCTGAGTACTTTTGACAGGCTTTAACTTAAACAATAGTTACTTAATAGTTTAACTTTATTTCTTTAAATGCTGATACTGTATTACAACTTTTTAATGGAAATTTCCTAAGGCATATGTAATATTGATGCTTATTAGTCAGGGTATATTATTCCACATTTGAAACTTCCTTGATAATTAAGTGCAACAAAGTAAAGATTAGTTATTGAACTGTGTTAAAAATAGCTGCCCTTTCCTCTTCCAGAGTTGTTTTGGGCTGTTTGCCTTTACATTAAATGGCCCCTAGACTACTAGACTGTTTGTTTTTATGGTACTTTGGTCATTTTTCATTGATCTTGATATGTTTGCTTTTAGTAATATTCTCCACTTAATTTTTAATCTATTAATAACAAGTTTACAAAAATAGAAGCCTTATTTGAATGTATTTGATAACCAAGTTAATAACCAGGTATTTATTTTACACATGAGTATTAGCTAATAAACTCTGGGTGAGGACTGACGGTGTCTCCCCTGTTTCTCCTATAGGTGACATTCTTAAAGGTGAAACTTTTTAGCAATTTCTCTTGTAGTTAGATGCCTCTTTGGTTTGAAACTGTTATTGGGTGTTGAAGTCATTGTAAGACTTCCCTACAAGTAACCAGACATAGTAATATGCTAAATAGTTATTTACTATTATTGTTACTACTATTTTTGATGGTGTGGGGATTTGAGCTCAGGACCCTGTGCCTGGTGCTCTACCAATTGAGCTACACTCCCAGCCCTTTTTGCTTTAGATATTTTTCTAATAGAGTCTTGCATTTATGCCCAGACTGGCCTGGTCTGTCTGTGATCCTCCTATTTATGCTTCCCACATAGCTGGGATGACAGGCGTGTGCCACCTTTCCCAGACTTTTTGTTGTTGTTGATTGAGATAGGATCTCATGTGCTTTTTCCCCAGTCTGGCCCAAACTGTGATCTTCCTGATCTCTGCCTCCCTGGTAGGTAGGATCATAGGTGTGAGCCAGTGTACCTGGCCTGCAGTTGTTTTTATAGAGTTGTAATTTATGTATTCTAGTCTAATTATGTAAATAAAGTTTAGAATCAGTGAAGAGTAAACAGAGTTAATAAAAGTCTGTTTTTTTAGTACTATCTTGAAATAATGAGGGACACTAAAATTTTAAGATACTAAATACTTATCTTTGAAAAAATGTGTTATCTAGTTGTCAAAACAATACATGTGTTCATACAAACGAGAATGGTTATCTTCTATTCTAAAGCTAAAATATTTTCTCTACTAATTTGCAGTGTGCTCAATTTGTGGATATTTTGTTAGAATGTTTTGAACTGTTACATTAACTTATTACACAGTGATGCGTCTAGAGCAGAGCTCCTCAAGTCTTTGTGGTAAAGCACCAGTTTTCCTTAATGTCTCAGACCAGTACATGATACCATGGTACACAGAATGCAGATTGTATGCATGTGACTCAAACTCAAGTTCAGTAACACCCAAACCAGTCTATGTGAGGGAAAATTCATTGATCATGCCATAGGCAGTCTTCTTTGCCTTAGAGAGAGAGAAATCTCTTTTGCCTGAGGATCACCATCTTGCCTTCTAGAAACTATGCAGTGAAATTGGTTTGGAGTCAGAAGTACATAGAAGAAGATGAAAAAACTTGTTTAATATATTTGAATGATGGCTAGGTAATTCTTGGTAGATGCCTGTGCCAAACTAAAGCCTTTAATCGTTGCTTTATTTGACAGCAATCTTTTTAAGAGAGAGATTTCCAACTGATAGTAAAAAGGAAGAAGAAAATAATCTCATTTATATTAAAAGCATTTGTTTTGGAAAAGTAGTATATTGACTTTCCTTCATACAAATTATGAAGGGAAATGTATAATGATGTAAAAAGGCTGGAGCTAAAAAACATAAAATTAAAATTCAATTGAAATGCAGTTTGAAAGAAGTTGTTACAGATAACTTACTATGTAAAAAATAAATATATAGCAAGAATAAAAGGAAAATGAATTTATTTCAGAAGTATTTATTACTTAAAGCTAATTAGAGTCTCTTTTTGAGTTTTTTAATGCTCTCTTTCCAAGAGCACAAAAGTTACTTTTATAAGTTTTATCTTTCTAAAAGAATCATTACTTCCCAGCTTGCTAATGAAGTTGTCATCAGCTGTTTTTCTTTGTTTCCCATTGCTGTGTCCTTTGGCTTTAGTAAGGGAGGTTTGGACTAGGCTATAAGGGAGAGGAAGAAGACGAAATGAACATTTAAAAAAACACTATGTGCTTTATTTGATCTTTATAATATAAGTTTAAAAATAGTTTTAATGGCACATTTTTCTCAGTAGTGTGGTTTATGAGATGATAGAGGCATCTTTCCGTTATAGATTTCAACTCATTTATGTTAGTATATCCAGTTAGTAGCTTTTTTTTTTTGTCAGTTGAGGATTGACATAGATATTTGTTTCAATTCTAGAGCAAAAATTCATAGTGCGAGGATCATAACTTAGACTTTATAGAATATAAGAGGAGGAGTAGGGAGAATGTGTGCAAGTTAGTTTTAAGAGATAGGAGATTCTTGGTTTACAGTTTTTTTTCTTTCAGTACTTTGAATATGTCATCTCCATGCCTCCTGAACTCCATCACTTCTGGTGAGAAGTCTAACTGTCTTATCTGACTTGCCCTATAAATGAGCTGAGCCAGGATTCTTGGCTTATCATGCCTTGGTTAGAGCTTCTGCCCTTATAATTGGGCACTGGGTGGAAGAAGGAGCCGAGACTTCAGCCATTCTTATCTGAAATAGGGCTTCTGCAACACAGAACTGGAGGGGATGAGAAATGTGGCTGGCCTACCCTTCCTGAGCAGGAACTGTCATTCTAGACAGGACCTGGGCAGAGAGAAAAGAGCCCTGTTTTCTTGGCCAGACCTGCTTGGAGTAGATAGCCTGTCACAGGGAACTGGGAGCAGGTATGGAAGTAGGCCATGATTTAAATGCCATAGACCTACTTCCTTCCTTCCTGCCTTCCTCCCTCCCTCCCTCCTTCCCTCCCTTCCACCCTTCCTCCCTCCTTCCCTTCCTCCCTTCCTTCCTTCTTTCCTCACTCCCTCCCTCCCTTCCTTCCGACTTATGGTAACTACTGTGTGTCTGAAAACTTAATGATACAAAACATTAATGTATATGTATCTTTCATTAATCACCAATATAGAACATATGCACTTTAATGATTTGACATAAAATATAACTTTATTTTAGAATTTTCTAATGCAGGCTGGGCATCCTTGATCCAAAAATGCTCCCAAATCTGAAACTTTTTGAGTGCCAAAAGATAACCGAGTGGAAAATTCCACACTACAAACTTTTGTTTTATGTACATCTTTTTGGTAGTATTGGCAGGCACTCTGCCGTTTAAACTGCTCTGCCAGCCCTAAAATTTTAAAAATATTATATAAAATTACTTTCAAACTATGTGTATAAGGTGTAAATGAAACATAAATGAATTTCATGTTTAGACTGTGTCCTATCCCCAAGATATCACATTGTGTGTGTGCAAATATCCCAAAATCTGAAAAAACCTGAAATGTAAAAGTTTTCTGGTTCCAAGCATTTTGGATAAGGGATGCTCAACCTGTATTAATAAGAAGCTGAATTGTGAGAAATGATATTTGTGGAAGCTTGTATGAAGGATGTGTAATTTACTGAACATGCACACACACAGTTTCTTAACTCCTTTACTTTTCTGGGGATGGCCACCACTGCCCCATATAAGTCACCTCATTACTGTATAAAATGGTTTTCAATGCAATGTGACCCTGTTCCTCGGTTATAGTTGATAGCTTTAGGGCTGGGCACCCAACTCAAGTTTGGTCGATCCAAGTCTTTTTCTCGGAATTCTGGAATTGAACTTGATAAGAAAGTCAGGTTCTTTCTAGTGAAGCTGTTAGTTGGAATGCTTAGGACTGTTAGCATCTGTGTTTCCCACAGTGTGGTTCAGAGGATTCTTGGTCTATAAAAGAAATATGAATGGGAATGAAGTAGAAGTTCAGAGATACTTCTTGATGAGGTGTTTTTTGACGCTTATTCACATTTTTCCCCATGTGTGTCCTGGGTCACTTCAGTATCTTCAATATAAATTCCTTTTTTAGTTTAAGCTGTCTTAAGTTGAGTTTTGCTACTAGTTATCAAGAGTCTATAAAATTTGTTTTTTTGAGGAACATTTCCCAAAATATGTTCCTTAAAACATTTATCCATTGGTAATTATTTTTTTAAAGGAGAGGAAGAAGGTTCCATGATTAAACAAATTTAGAAAGGCATCTCATCAATATTTACAGAGCATATGACCACAGTACTGGAAAGTTATGAGAATTTATGTGGGCTTTTTTGTTTGTTTGTTTGTTTTAAGTTTCTTTAGCCTAGTAGTTCTCTAATTTATTTTCTTACAGCCATTCTTCTCCCCCTAGAATCTGTTAACTAGCATTTCATGAAGAACACATGAGAGGAAATGTTCCCTTAGAAATTTAAATCTTTAAATGAAACTAGACCACCATCCAGCTGTGTGCCTTGTTTGCATTCTTTTAGTTTGCAGAAAATGACATGGAATTGTGCTTTGGCAGGTGAAACTACCCAAAGAAATGTGTCCTTTATGTTGCTGGAGAATTCTCTTAAGGCGGTTGCTTCCTTTATCACATATCTTTTTATGAGGCCTTACTCTAGAATCATCTCTCAGTTCTCAGAACAGGATAGCTTCTCTAAGTAACTGTTTATTTAAAATCGCTCAGCCACTGTATATGTTGTAATTGGATGTGTACCTTTCTTTGCATTATCCATTAGAAAATGCAGAGGCAAATGTGTATAGTACATAGATCCTATGATGTATTCTTGGCTTTATCTTACTATTTTTATTATTGTTTCTTTTTGCTATGTTTTCTTTTTCTTTCTGTTTTTTTTTTGGGGGGGGACACTGGGGTTTGAACTCAGGGCCTCACACTTGCTAGGCAGGTGCTCTACCACTTGAGTCACTCAGCCAGCATCTTTGCTATAATTTCTTCCTTCACTTTTATCAAGCTTGTGTGTTAGGATATGTATCTGTGTGTATAAGTAAACTTGTGGTTAAAAAAAAGCATATAACATAAAATGTACCATCTTAATAATTTTTAAGTTTAACAGTAACTCTATGCACCATACTGTTCAGTTACTCTCTTGAAGTTTTCATCTATGCAAAATTGAAAGTCCATACCCATTAAACAATCCCCGTTAATCTTGTATTTGTTTTTACTTAAGGCATCTGAATCCTAACTTAAAATAAGACTAAAAAGAATTAAGAATTAAATAAAATTGTTTAGAGTAATATTTTTGGTGATGTAAATGACAGTACAGACAATGTCATTAGAACACTTCAAAGATAACCATAAATTTGTTTGGCTAAGAAGTTATAAAGCATGAAATGTGCCAAGACTTTGGCCTCTAGAATTTGTTTTTTGGCAGCACTGGGGATTGAACCTAATACCACTTGAGTTACACCCCACTCCTAGCCTTTTAAATTTGTATCTAAAATATTACTATGTTTATAAAGCACTGTATTCTTTTCTGTTGCACAGGTTTTGTCAGGTTTTTAGAAGGCTATTATATTGTGCTAATAACTAAGCGGAGGAAGATGGCAGATATTGGCGGTCATGCTATATATAAGATTGAGGACACAAATATGATCTATATCCCCAATGATTCTGTACGGATTACTCATCCTGATGAAGCTAGGTATGTACTAGTGGTACCTACTTATTTTTTTAATGTGATATGCCAATTAGAAAGCAAAATAGAACCAAAGGATTGTAAATATTTTATAAAAAGTTCAAATGTTGGCTCAGAATTCTACAACTTTTGTTCAAGGCTATAAAAGATCCATTATAACAGTTTGTTTAGACAATGATCAACCATAGCTATTAGAACCATTAGGTGTAAGGAATGAATATTCACAGTCTCAACATACTCAATTTTATGAGTCTTCTTGTTATTTGCAAACAGGAAAAAGAATTTTTATAATTAAAAAAATGGCAGGCATTCTTAAACAAATGATGAAATTTAGCATCACCTCTTATGGTGAAGCAGTGGGAAGAACACAGATTGCCTTAGTAGTTTGTTTTGCTGAAAATATTAAACTTGAATCCCAGTATAAGGAAGTAATTTTAAAAATCCATATTATGGGAATTTTACAAGACAGCTAGCCTAGACTCTTCACAAATGTCAAAGTCATCAAAGAATTAAAAAACAAATTTTTAATTACAGATTTTAGAACAGACATAACAGATGTAACACATGAACTTCAGTTAGATCCTTGGTTAAAATGTGCATGTACATACCCATTTACACATAGCTGTTAAAGGTGTAATAATGGTACAGGTGAGTATTCTTTATTTGAAATGCTTGAGGTGTTTTGGATTTTAAAAATTTGCATACATATACTGAGGTATGTTGAGAATGGGACCCAAATCTGAACACAGAATTCAGTTATGTTTCATTTACATTTTATACACATGGTCTGAAGGTAATTTTATACAGTGTTTTTATGCACCTGTGTTTTGACTGTGATATGTTATATGAGGTCAAGTGTGGAATTTTCCATTTGTGGTCTTCTATCAGTGCTCAGAATCTTTTAGATTTTGGAGCATTTCAAATTTCAGATTTTCACATTAGAGATTCAATCCAATGGTTTAGAAAAATAAAATGTACTGTGTATTTAGAGAGAGAATATGTGTGTGTTTAAGAAGAGGACTCTTAATGAGTTCAAAAGAAGGACATATGGTATCCATTGTATTGTTCCCCGCCCCCAGATTTTCTGTAGATTTGTGACCTTTCAAAAGTTTTGGGGGGAATTATTAGGGCCTTGAGAATGTGGAGGAAAAGCTTTAACACATTGATAGACTTAAAGTTATAAAGTTTCATTTGACTTAATATTTTGAAGGTTAAAATGAAACAAAGTTAGGCATGTTTACTGTAAGTAATAGTTTAGATTTTAATTTTGTTCTTTAATTTTAGATATTGTTTTGATATGTGAATCAAAATTTAAGATGATGTAGCACTTTTGCCTGAGTGTTTGTTAGAATGGTTTTCTGGAGTCTTGGGACGTTGACTTTGATGATGATTTGGAAATGGTGTTGTTATAAATAATTTCTTTCAGGTGAGGAAAAGTACAGTACACTAGATAGAGTAGATCTTTGTTTTGTACTAACTGAAAAAATTATATCACATATAGCATAATGCAGGCATAGTATAATAATTAAAAGTGAATCAAATAGACTAGCATGAATGCAAGGGAGGAAAAAAGTTGAAGAGGTTTATATTATTTATAAGCCCTATCTTTATGATACTTTAGCTAAGAAAGTAAAACAAATTATGTTGTTTTGTATAGCAATTTAACTATCTTTAGAGTGACATTGCTATTATACAGTACTACGTAGTAAGTGGACATTATCGAGAATGAGCTACAGTTAACTTATTATATTATTAACTTATTATAGGTAGAATGAAATAATATTACTTGATAGGGAAAACTTTTAACACACTTATAATGCTATATAACCCAATAATGCATTTAAGTAAAAATACTCGGTAAAATATTAGAAAGTAAAATACAATACTTTTAAGTATTTCATATGAAAGGACAAATAGATGTTAACCTATAATGCATTGTTAGGTTGACATCAGAAAACTTGCTAGAACAATTTGCCACTTTAAAATATTGTTGGGAAAAATTATGGCCATCTTAATATTTGCAGAAAATATATTTGGCAAAATTCCATATCCACTTGTGATCAACTTACAGCAAACTAGGAATTTAAGCAACTTTTCTTAGCTTAATAATTAATACTTATTGAAAACTTATATCCAAAATTATTCTTGGAAGTAAAACTTTGAAATATTGCCTTTAAGGTAAGGAACACTGGAGATATCCAATATTCAGCACTGTATTCAAGGCTCTACTCAGTGCAATAAGACTAGAAAGATAAGGCATAAAGCTTAAAAAGAAATAACAATGTCATTATGTAGGCAGCATGATTTTCTACTTAGAAAATCTAAGAGAACCTACATACTCTCAGATATAATGGAAAAGTTCAGCAACATGGCTGAAGAAAGAAACCAGATGTAAGAACCAGTAATGTGTCCACACATGGGTAACAAGCAATGAGGACATTTAATACTGACCCCATTTATAATAGCACCAAAGACCATATGGTACCTTGGGAGTAAGTATGACAAAAGCACACAAAACCTTATGGAGAAAATTTAAATTATTACTAAAAAGATGTTTAAATTCCCTAAGTAATTGGAATGATGTCCCTTTGGTCATGATTAAGAAGACTTAATATCATAAAGGTTAGTTTTCTCCAAAATTAATTCATAAATTGAATGCAACTCTAATTCATATTCCAAGAGGACTTTTAAAAAATGGAATCTGGCAATTCTAATTTTACAAAATTATTGTAAAATTCATAAGAAAAACAAAAGTCTAAGCATAGTCTAGACAATTCTAAAAAAGAAAGGATAAGTCTAACCAGACAATAGGACTTAATTAAGATAATCAGATAGTAATCGATAGTTAAGATTGCTTGGTGTTGGTGGAGGTACTGATATTGATTATCAAATGTTAACAAAGATGTGAGAAATGAATTCATACTATGAGTTACAAACTACGAGTGTAAGCGAGTTATAAACTGTGAGTTGGATGATATTATTTTAGCCCCTTACGTAGACAATTGGATATATTCTAGTAAAATTGAAAATGCACATTATGTACAACCCAGTGGTTCTGCTTCTTTGCATGTGCCCTAGAGAAACTCTTATACATGCGTACAGGAAAATGGGATATTAGCCACATTGTATTTTACAGTGGAATACTAGAACGACTCTAATAAACTATCATCTAAGGAATGCATAAATAAAATGTGGCATGTGTAATATTATGCACAGCAAATGTTAATTAAAGCAAACAAATGGAACCCTTAACTTTCAACATAGCTGTACTTAAAATAATGAGTGAAAAAAGAGTTGCAGAAAATATACACGTTTGAAACAATCTGGGTAAATATGTTCAGTACACGATATAAAGTGCATGTCGTTGAAAGATGTTTATGAGTGGTAAAAGTAAAGGTACCCAGGGACAAAGGATAGCATCAATAACAGAAAAGAAGTTGCCTCTGGAGGGAGAGAACAGGACTGGGATGACTAAAGGGGGAATGTAGCTTTTAAAATTATGTTTTATCTGTAAAAAGTCAAAATGAATCTGAAAAAATATAAATACTTAAGTACTCCTAGGTGACAGGTATATGGATATTTTATTCTATACTTTTCTCAGTTTAAATAGTTTTTCAACGTCAAATTATGATCCACACACATTTTGTTTATTTTTGTCACTGTCCTTTCTCCAACCTCAAGTATTTGTAAAACACAATGTAAAAGCAAAAACCACCTTTACTTCTGTCATGTCCTTGGTCTGTGCCCCACACATGTGGGTATGTGATTGCCTTCTGCTGCCATAATCAGTGATGAGGAAGAGTCAAACTGTAGCTAAGAGTCTCTGAGAGACGCTTCAGGTGAAATCCTATCCCAAGAAAGGCTTGTTCCTCAATTTAATTAGTTTATTTATTAGTACAAAAATATTCATGAGTATGCATTAAACTGTGAAAAATAACAGAACTGTGTGAATATAATATGTTTTGCTTTTTTTTTTTAGGTATCTACGAATATTTCAAAATGTGGACCTATCTAGCAATTTTTACTTTAGGTAGGTTTGACATAGTTTTGCTCCTTTCAAGCAAATGGACTTTTATATTATTTTCCAAGGGGTAAAAACAAAATCAGAGCACAGTCAGTAGGCAAATATTTCATCTAAAAGCACTAAGATAGAGGTATTTTTGCCTTTAAAAAAATCTGATTACTTTAAAATTCAAATGGATATATTAAGGAGTATTTATTTTCACCGTAAAATCACCTTTGTTTCAGGTAGAATCTAATATATTTTAAAGAAATACTCTCATTTTGCAACTTTGAATTATAAAAATGAAATTTGCATTCAGTTTCTAATACAGAGTTGTAACAATGTCATGGTTCAATTTTTGGTTAATAACCTGGCAAAATTAGGTAAAAAGTAAAAAAACAGGAAGAACTATTGAAATACTGATATACTGCTGGTGGAGTTTAATTTAGTTGTTTTCTTAGAGCAGAATGTAAATTTAGCATATATGGAAATAAGTCCTAGGAAAACATATCAAGAGGGAAAATATAACTCCCTATTAGTAAAGAGACATTTGTGAGTATCTATTTGCAGTAGCCCACAAGCAAACCACAATCCATGGACAACCCAAATATTGATACTTGAACAGGCAAGTAAATGATGGTAGCGCCTCGTGATAAAGCCATATATCGTCATCAATGTGGCCAGTATGTAGGCCTGGCTGAAACAGTTATTGTGATAGATGGAAGATTCTACCTGTTACACCTGAGGATCTGAGTCATAAGGACTGAAAGAGCACGTACAGCATTTGTAGCTATTGGTGGTATATACTGACAGGGTACTTTGCATTTATTAAATTTTAATTTTAATTGTTAATAGAGTTAATCATTTATTTATGAAATAAAGAAAAACATGCCTGCTATGTGGAGCATATTATGTCTTTATTGATGAAAGACATCAATTTCAATAACTGATAATTTCAATAACTGAAATTATCTTGATAGTCCTAGAGTAAAGAGCTTCTAATGAACTCATTTTTATACCCACAAACGTTTACTGAATGTATATTTCCATTCTGTTTGTCTCTTTTCAATCCATATTGCTTAATTTTCTGTTTATAGCATCTGTGAGTTATTACTGAAGATTGGTGGTTCTGTTAGAAAGTCTCCTGTTTCACTTTCTCAGTTTTATCTGGTTCCCCATCCTAAATTCTGTTAAATCTCTCTAAAAGTAAAAACACATAGGTTAAAGTTTTTGTGTCTCATAAGTAGGCTTTTAAGGTTATACTACATTCTGTGACTCAGCTAGAATAAAGTAATTGTTTTAAATAGGAGGAATTGATTGCTAAAAGTCAGAAACTAGCTTCTTAACATGGTTTTTATCCTTTTGAGATTAGATGCTATTAAAATTAATAGAGCCATCAAGCAAATGTGGTAAAACTGAATTTCACAGAAGAAACTGAAATCAATTTCAATTGAATTATATAAATAAATTAAAGAAATACTAAGTAATGTGAATGACTTTCTAGAAAGAATTTTAACCATCTTGAATTATTACTGTATAAGCCTAAAGTATTCAGTTGCCTTCTATGCCAAAAAGTACATGTGGAGATACCTATAAAATTACTATTTTTGTAAAATCAGAATTCTAATGGTTTCTTTTGACCTAAAGGCCAAATTGTATTAGAGACTTACAATTTTTATATGGCTTTTTACTCCCCTAAAACATGTTTCACTGTAATGGCTTACTCCTGTTTCATTATTTAGTTATGATACCATCATTAATAGCTAATAGAATTGTTTTTGCTTATGTATGAAGTAGGGTACAAAATCATGCACTATTTAAGTGGGTATTGTAGTACTATAGAACTCCATTCAGATACATACAAAAGTGTGACCGCTTTGTACAAGGCCATGAGTTTAGATTGATTTCAATCTGAAGCAAAAAATGCATGTGGTTCAAATCAATAATGTAGGCTACTCACATTGTAGTCTATGTACCGAGTCACACAGATGTCTAAGTCATGCAGGACTGTTTGAAATCGCCTTCGTATTTGGCTATGTTTTATAGTGCTTATTGGAATGCATTGCTTCCAAGCGAAGTACCGACTGCTAAGTAATTTAGTTCACAGATTTTAATTCCATATGGAAGCCAAGACCATGAAATATGCGTTGGTTTTGTAATTCTTAAGTTTCACTTCTCATCTCAGTTACAGCTATGATTTATCCCACTCACTTCAGTACAATCTTACTGTCTTGCGAATGCCCCTGGAGATGTTAAAATCAGAACCAACCCAGGCTCGCCAGGAGAGTTTTGACATCTTTGAAGACGAAGGACTAATTACCCAGGGTGGAAGCGGTAGGTGGTGCAGCATATTTAATGTTGCTAATGTGGCACCCACGCAATGCTATCTCGTTAGATTCTCTCACATTTCTCTCATGTCTCTCCGTCCCTCAGTGCTGTTTATGCTTACATGGGGTTTTGGATACATGAACTTGACCAATTCATTTTTATAGAGAGCATTAATCACCATGTGATTTTATTTGTAGGCCAGCCAGAAAATTGTATACTGACATTTTTAAAATTATTCATGCACTTTTTATGGAACACCTTCAGGTATATACTTTCAGTGGGGTTTAAATAGAGAATTGGTTTTTGAATACTGGAGAATTCACACCATCTTATTTTCTTTCCTTTAAAGAGATAGGCTTCAGTATGGGCTGAGTTTGGGGAAGAGTTACCATGGATTACCTATTGTATGCTAGACATTTACATATAATATTTTAAGTCTCATAAAAACTGTGCAGGGCTGGGTGCCAGTGGCTCATGCCTGCAATTTTAGCCACTCAGGAGGTAGAGATGAGGAGGATTACGATTCAAAGCCAGACATACAGTTCACAAGATCTTATCTGGAAAATACCCAACCACAAAACAGGGCTGGCAGAGGGTGTCAAGTGGTAGAGTACCTGCCTAGCAAGTATGAGGCCCTGAGTTCAAACCCTACTGCTGCTACAAAAAAACCAAAACCAAAAACAAAACTTAGCTCAGTAGATATAACGCCAGTTTTGTAGAATTAAAGACTCCATAGGAAACTGAGGTCCAGAGATGAAGATCATATGCCAATAACCAGGAGGACAGAGGGACAGGGGGAGAGGACATCATTGCAGCAGGTCAGAGACTACACTTTCACTGGTTCCCACTTGACTCTCATAGACCCTGCTTCTTGTCAAGTCTACTGTTGTAGCATGGCAGGGTCATGGCACTACTAGTCTAGGGTGTCCCTGGAGATCCTGGACTAAACCAGGCACACAATGCCTTTATGCCCCTTTACCAGTACTTTTGTTGCTGGATTTGCATTGGTCTAGAACTCTAAAGCTAGAGGTGTTGTTAATGTGAATGATGTGGAGGAATCATTTCAAACTTGAAGTTAAGGTACCCTAGCTGAATTGGGCCAACTGGAACCAAAGTAAGTCAATGATGGTTTTGACTCCCTGGCTTCTTGAAACTTAAATGATAGTGATGAAGATATGGATACAGAGGCAGAATCCAGTCTAAATTGGACCCATATGGTCCACTTCTTAAAGAACATTTGAGAAGGAACTGTTTTCTGTTAGTATTTTCCCAAAGGTTCTGGTCTACTCATAACCTGTTCTGTAAGCTGAATGTCATCTCTGGCATTGCCCTTGACTCTGGTTATTTTACTTGCTTATCATTGAGCTAAGGCCATGCCAGGTGCCCTCTTGCTGACCTCAGATCATCTAGATCACATAAATTTGCATTGGTTCAAGACACCTGACTCCCAAACCACCAGACACAGGTGGAGAGCAAGACAGGGAGTATATCTGAGTATTTGCTTGCATCACTTCTGAGTATCACAGCAATATGATAAAGCCAAAAGTGTTGCTGAATTTGCTGTACATGCCACACAAATCTGAATTTGAATATGTGTTCTGGGATCTAAATTAAGCCTCTGAGGCTACTTAAGTTTTTGCTGCCTCTAGAGAAAGCCTACCCAGATAGATATGAATGACAAGAGTGTAGTAGTTTCCTGTTGTTGCTGTGACAAATTACTACCAAACTTAGTGACTATCACACCACCATTACATCATCCCGACACTCACACTGTTGTTTTCCTCTTTCATTTCTAAAGATCCTGTGATCACTGGGCCCATGTGGATAATCCAGAATAATCTTCTTGGCTCAAGATCATTTGATTAGCAGTCTCTGTTCCGTGTGTAACTATATTATAACACATTCACAGGTTCTGGTGATTAGTATTCTGACATCTTTGCTTCCACTCAGGGGGAAACGGATAGAAAACTACAGGGGAGGGAGTAGTGAAAAAGGAAGTAATACATGTTTCAAAAACATCTCTGCTGTGTATCAGGGACTTCTCATAAACTCTTTAATCTGAACACATTTGCTCAGGTGAGTAGTGGTGTCACTCTTTTACAGTTTAGAAAATGGAAATGCTAAGTAATTTGTGTAAAGTGGCAGAGCTGGAGTGTGTCTGTTAGTCTTCATTCTCTCGTGTCTGCACTGAAAAGATAAAGTTTAGTTTTTATAAATTAAACCAAAGGTTATGCATCATAATATATAAATAATATTCTTAGGAGACTGTGTTTTGGGGGAATACGGTATCAATTGCTGTTCAGAACTGTTCCAGTCTTTTAAGCCATTAGCTTAAATATATAATTATTTCTCATTTTTCACTTCATGTAAGTTTTGTAAAACAAATTGCTGTTTAATTAATTTAACTGTATATGCTGAAATCATGTTGGATGAAATTAATTTCTTCATATGGAAGAAATTGTGGATGTATGAGTAATGCACTTACTGTGCATTAGCTAATTTATTTCATCTGTACAGCAACCATATGATATGGGAGCAGATGAGGGAACAGAGGCACGGAAATAGTAGGTAACACTTTTTATGGTGCCTGCCACACTGTTGATAGGAGGCAGAGCCAGGATGTCCTTGACCCAGGCACTCTGACTCCACGCTGTGTTCTCAGTGGCTACTTGCTGCTGGTTCTTGGCTTTATTCATGTATTTATATACCTGTCCTTAATTTCCTTCTCATTTTCTTTTCTGTTGAATTAAAAACTCTCAAGAATCAGAAAATGCATTTCTTCTTTGACTCATACAGAAAACAGCATAATATTCTGAATGTTGATATGAATGATATCCACTGAAAATGACAAGGCTGTTAATCAGGCTTCATATTTTCAAGTTAAAAACAGAAGTGAAAGAACTCGAAAATGAGTTGAATGTCAATTTCCTTACTTTCTGAAACCAACTTTTATTTTTCAGGTGTATTTGGGATCTGTAGTGAGCCGTACATGAAATACGTGTGGAATGGTGAACTTCTGGATATAATTAAAAATACTGTGCATCGTGACTGGCTGTTATATATTATTCATGGGTTCTGTGGACAGTCAAGTATCCTTTTTTGTATAAACTTAAGCTGTATATCGTTAAACTTAGACCATATCAACTTTTAGAAAGCTGCACTCAAATTACAAGGTTATGCATCCCCAACAGGAATACTTACCCATGGTGTCTTGTAGTAGAACTACAAAGAAGTAGGCAGACTATTTGAATAATATCTGTTATGAGCACAGAAAGATTAAAAATACGGAGGAAGAAAATGCTATATGCATAATAAGTGAGATAGGTAATGGGGATCATACTCACTGGGAAAAGAAGCAAATTATCTGGCAGGTGGAGAGGATAGGCTAGGCTCATCACAACAACACTTCACCTCGCTCTGAACTAAATGCCAGGCCTTAGCACTGTGCAGAGAGACATCATGGGCTGGGGAAGCACCTTGAGGGAAGATGTGGAGAACAGCTGGCTGTGTTCTCTGGCTTGGGCATATTACTCCTGGGAGGTAGGATGTTGTGGGAGGGATTACTGGAGGTGGAGCCAGACTGCCAGTCACAGATTCCCATGGTGGCAGGCGAAGGACTTTGGGTTTGGCTCTAGAACTTTTGACGTTTTTATTCAGAAGAGTGACGTGCAAAGTTGTATTTCTAGGAAGCTTTAGTTGACAGCCACTTTAAAGTTGGATTAAGTAAAATGAGAGTAGACAAGGTATATGAGTTAGAAAAAGCCTGCAGTAGTAGTTCAGGCATAATGTAATGCAGGCTTAGAGTGGAACGGGGCATAATAGATTAGAAGCAGGTTGAACCTTGGGTTAAGATGATGAGTTCAATTTGATAAAAACTTTCTTTTTCCTTCTACAGGTTCACTTTTCATTTAATTTCTAGCTAACACTGAAGCCTTTCAAGAAAGTGCCATTGTGGTTTGAGGTTTAGGAGGGCAGTTCCTATCACTTTTTTGAGATAATGCAGGGCATTTTGTGCACCCCGTGTGTTTTTAGGTGACATTCTTCCTTATGCCAGGTTTTTAAAGACCTGTAGTAAGAGCTTTAAAGAAGTGGTTGCCTAAGGCCATTAAGTGTCTGAATGTGACTAACCATCTTTATGCCTTGTGCTGGAGCATTTGGGAGCAGTGGGATCGAGGGGCTTGAGGAGGGCTGCCTTGTTTGTGGCAAGTGGGGAGAGGAAAGGCTAGATGCAGACACAGGGATTTTGGAGTGGAGATGAATGAGATTGATGTACTACACTTGAACATCAAGCTCATTACTTTATAATCATTTTCAACTAGTGAGTGATATTATCTGTTTGATCATTCACTGTGTAATGAGATTTGATCCTGAATCAGTTTTCTCTGTTTTCAGAAATAAATTCTACCTGGCAAGAACACAGAGTTTTCACCACCAAAGATAGCAAAGAGAGTATACTATGTGTCTAAAGTCCATTTCTACAATGTAGTTCTAAACTGTTTTGCATTTCTAAGAACTAGCTCAGGGAATGATGTACATTAAGCATAATAAATGTTTGTTTTTTTAAATAGTGAATAGCATCATAGATTATCATTTGAAAGCTCATTAGTTTAAACAATGAATCTAGTCTCCTGGTTATCAAGCATTTAATGAATTCTGGAAGTCTATATAATGATACAAGTAATTGCTCTCTATTGAGCATGTCCTACAGGCTAGGCATTATGAATTTAATACATTCCTTCAGATAATTCTGCCCACCACCTAGCAATAGTTCAGGCTGAGTATTGTTTATCCAAAATGCTTGGGACCAGAAGTGTTTCTGATTTTAGATTTTTTTTTTTTTTGGTTTTTGAAATATTTACATAAACATGAGATAACTTGGAATGTCACCAAGTTTAACCATGAAATTCATTTATGTTTCATATATATCTTAAACACATCTTAATTTTATGCGCTATTCTTAGCGTGCCTGCACTTTGATTGTGACCTATCACATGCAGTCAGGTGTGGAATTTTTCACTTTGGCTCAGGTTGGTGCTCAAAAATTTTAGTATTTTGGAATGTACTGGATTTTAGATTTTCAGATTAGGGATGTTCAAACTGTAGCTGCTTTTTAATTACTGCATTTTATAGTAGATGAGATTGTAGCTCAGAAAGTTAAAGTAATATAAGTAATAAGCTGTATTTTGGTTAAGCAGTTCACAGTAATTCTTTCAGTGTTCAGGTTTTGGACTGATTCCTCAAAAAAGATTTGAACTCAATCCATTCTCTCAGTATTACATATCGTTTCATAATTAAACATGTTGTTCCTGAGAGCTATGTGACTCTAGACTAAAGAAGGATTAATTGTGGTTATTTGCATCTTTACTTGGCCACCAGGGCAGATGGATCTTCCCTGGGCTAGTAACACTACACCTGGTTACCATTTCCTTTGAATTCATAGAAGCCATTCCATAGACAGATTGGCTTTTGCCATCATACCCACACAGTTCTGAAGAACCATTAGATCCAATGCTGTTTCGTTCTTCTGGTGTCTTTAAGCCATTGATCAAGATATATTTAAAAGAATAGTTAAGGTTTAATGATTCTCTTGGTTTTGTGTGAAAGTCATGAATGCTAAACAACTTTAACTTGGTTTCTAAGAACTATTGATCTATGGACGACCAGTGTATGTTACTCTAATAGCTAGAAGATCCAGTAAATTTGCGGGGACTCGTTTTCTCAAGAGAGGTGCAAACTGTGAGGTAAGATGACAAGCAACATCGCTGTTGAGATTTTAACCTTTTGCATCAGTTTTGCTGATGTAGATGAAGCAAAGTAGAATTTCTTAGTTTGGGATATTATCAAGACAATAATTAATTCTCCAGAGTATCTGAAACTTGTGAGAAATATGACTAATAGACAAATGTTCTGGGAAGTTAACTAACTTAGAAAGAGTTATGCAATGGAGTTATGAAATATCTAATGTTTTGGAGGATGAGCCATTTCTGAAATATATGAAACAATGTTTAACATAGAGACAAAAACAGCAAAGCACCCCTACTCAAGGAGTAAGAAGGCAGCCCTCCTCGTTGGAAGTACAGTCATGATGAGAAGGCAAAATAGAGTACGACATGGCGTCACCCTCTTTACTTTTATTCCCCAGACTCATTTTTCTTGTTCACAACTGCACAATAGCAAAACAAAACAAAACAAAAAACCCTTTTGCCTACCGTCAGCCATGTCTTCTCCTTGAGCGCTCCATCTCTGCTTGCGGTAGATAACTTGAATCAAGCAGATGTATGATCAAATAGACAGATTGAATGAGGAATTGGGCTTCAACCCTGACTAAAAATAGCAATGTTGTTCTTCAGACTCTCTCAGCACTGAAAGTCATTGCAACTGGTACTTTAAGAAAAATCAGAATTTTGTGGCTGTGTTATTTATTTTTGAATATTCAAAGGGTAGCCAAACAAATATTATTAATGTCGCTAAAATGATCCTTTTTTATATATATATACTTTGATAATAAAGTTACTTCCAAATGTCTCCTTTGTTCCCTGCTCCTTTATTTTCTTCTGGCCATCAGGCATTATTTGAATCTCACTCTTGTTTTTTCATTCCTCTTTAGTCTTTATTTTGGTATTTTGGTCTTTTTCATCTCTGTCATTATTTCATGTAATTGTTTTTATTTTCTCTCCCTTCTGACCATTTATACCAGTCACACTTCTCTCTGTTACATGTGTTATTAGTTGTTTAATTTGATTTTTTTCCTAGTCTGTTCTCTGCTACTTTTAATTGCTTTTTCTTTATTGCATTTTAATGGCTTTACTTTTCTAATGCACACATTGAATATTGACAGCATTTACCTCTTCCCAGAGTAAGAGTTATAATTTCATTGTATACTTGAAATTTTTTTCATTTAAAAAGTTCTAAGAACATAAAATATTTTTAATTGCACCTTTCTTTCTAGGGTGATGTTGCAAATGAAGTGGAGACTGAACAGATACTCTGTGATGCTTCTGTGATGTCTTTTACTGCAGGCAGTTACTCTTCTTACGTGCAAGTGAGAGGATCGGTTCCCTTATACTGGTCCCAGGACATCTCAACTATGATGCCTAAACCACCTATTACGTGTGTGTAGAACAATTATGTTTTTGGTACTGGGGCTTGAATTCAGGGCCTTCACCAGCCCCCACCCCCTTTTTTTGTAATGGGTGTATTCAAGATAGGGTCTCACAAATTATTTTCCTGGGCTGGCTTTGACCCGTGATCCTCCTGATCACTGCCTCCTGAGTCACTAGGATTATAGGCGTGAGCCATCAGCACCCAGCTGGAGCAATCTTTTTAAAAGTAACTCTTCTCTGCTCACATACAGAGATGACCTGCACTCCAGAAACCTAATAAATGATTGAATTTTAATGAGGCTTTAGTCCTGTAAGGTAGATAATTTGGAAGACTAACTTCTGTTATTTTTACGTAATAAATGTATCCTTAATTCTGTCTCTTGGTAAATTCTTTATATTTTACTTCAGAAATTAAGAATCATTCAGATTATTCAATACATGATAGATGAGTGTCCAGCGAGCTGCTTGAGAGGGAAACTACTAGATTGGTTGAATTGCATTTCTTTTATTTCTTTCTTATAATTTTTCATTCAGGTATTTAGTCATCTCTTTTTTTCTTCTTAGTGGACCAGGCAGATCCATTTGCACATGTGGCTGCTCTCCATTTTGATCAGATGCTCCAGAGATTTGGCTCCCCCATCATCATCTTGAATTTAGTGAAGGTATGATATGCTCATCAGACATGCTGGGCAACCTTTTCCTCAGTACCAAGAGGGTTAGAAAGCTATACTTTACCTGTCCCCAGAGGAGAGACTTGAAGATTCTCATGCTATGACACCCTACTGTATCAGAGCTTCTGTTCTTTGACCTCAGATTCCATGTGGCCTCTTCCTTATGTACCTGGAAGAATCAGTAGTAGCTTCAAAGGGGAGAGAGTGGTTCAGTGTATCAGGCTCCTGATTTCCCTGTGTGCGTTACGTACACATGAAATTTCTGCATTAGTTTCAGGACAACTTGGAGAAGGAAGCATGAAGATTAAACTGCCACAGCCTCGCTTTGATTCATACATCTCTCTTGACAGTCTATTGGCCTCACAGTTTCCTGCTTCCCTATCAGAGTACGCTAACTGGTCACCATATCTTCTGTATATGAGTGGGCATACAGGTCAGAGAGAAAGGATGAAGAGCAGGGAGACCACACAGTAAATTTTATCTGTAACTATTGCAGCCAAGTGACTTGAAAAACTCTCAGCCAGCAGCCTAGAAGACCCTGAGAGTATTAAAAACAAAGGTTTTCTTATGTTGTGGTTGTGGTAGTTGCCAACAACATAGCATATTGACAATGAAATGACTGCAGTGGACCGTGAAAGCCTAGCTAAATAAGGAGGGGTATAGAGGAGGAGGCTGCTGGAGAAAGAGCCATCAGTGGGTTGAGGTCCAAGTGAGGTGAGAGATTTAAAGCAAAAGCAATCTGAAAATGAAAGGTTTGGGGACTAGTGGGGTAGCTCAAGTGATAGAGCATTTTGCCTAGCAAGCCTGAAGCTCTGAGTTCAAACCACAGTAGTGCAAAAATAAAAAGAAGAGGTCTGGATAAGAAATGGCAGAGTAGTATATGAAATTATTCTAAGGTGCTGGTTAACAAATATGTAAGTTTAATTTAAAAAAATCAAAGAATCCTGTGTCCACTTAGTCACTAAGCAAGTGTTTTTGAGGGTTTCCTATGTGCCAAGATGATCAGAAACTGTCCCTGCCTTCATGGAGCTACCAGTCTAATGCAGGAGATAGTGAAGTTATGTACAGGTACCATTGCAGGGGAAAAATGGAAGTGAAGTCTTCCCTGAAGATGTGAGGGGTCAGATGAGTCAGCTTAGCCTGAAGGAGGAGGAAGGACTAAGTCAAGAGGAAAGAGAATAGTCTGCAACTTGGAGAAAAGGGGATGCCCTGGTATGTGTATGTGCATGTGTGCTTGCTTCCTCTGACAGCTCTAATTTTTCCTTAAGGTAGGAGGAAAAGTCATCTGCTGAGTGCAGAGGTTTCAGGGTGGTGGAGAAGGTTTAATGGGCTTATATACATGGGGTTTAAGGTGACTGGAAATATTACAGGCAACACTAAGAGCCCATTTCAAGTTGGTGATAATGATTCCTTAAATGAAGCCATTATGCTGTTGCTTGCCTTTTCCCACCAGGGCTTGCCTAGGGGAATAAGCACAGAGACAGATAATTGAGATCATTTAGTTTTGCCACACAGATATGACCTAAAAAGGCAGGATCGAAGGCATTTTAGATACTGACTATATTTTTTTTGCAGTGGACCATGAATGTCCAGCCAGATAAGTAGGAGTGTAAAGGAGAGGGCTGCTGGAGAAAGAACCATCAGTGGATTGAGGTACAAGTGAGAGGTCATTTAAAATAAAAGCCATCTGAAAATAAAAAATATTCTGGATAAGAAATGTTGAAGGCAGGCAGTTACCTGTGATGGTGACATGATGTAAGATGTGAAGGTGGGAATGGGGATTCAGAGTGCAGCAGAAGCTAGAGGCACTAAAAGCCACCCAGGATGGAGGCAGATTGGGCAGAGAGGATGACAGTTTCCAGTAAACTGTGGAGGAGAAAGAGAAAGAGAGCGAGTGATTGAGATTGAAGAAGAGAGACAAGCATGGAGGAACAGGGCTCACAAGTGGCACAAGCAGTGGCTGGAGAAGAGGGAGACAATGAGGCAATTAGCTTCATTTTTTCCTTTGTTGCTCTTTGGCTAAGTAATTATATCTAACCAGTGATTGACTTTGCAAAACAAATCATCCAGATATTAAATACATCATTTGCTAGGTAGTTATTCACACTTATTCCTAAGTTTCATATTTCTCTCTCTCTTCCTGTCACCTAATAGTAATTTAAGGTAGTAGCTGGATAATCTATAAACTTACCTAGTATTAAACAGAAGCTATAATATACATAATTGAAAAATTAAAGTGGGAAAAATTTAATAAAAACATTCATGAGCACTTTTCCACTAAATGTATATATTACTAGTATAGAAATAAATGATTGTGAAAGTAGTTAGTTGCAAAGCATACTGAAATATAAACCTAGAACTAAATTAGTAGATCTTGTTCATGTTATACAGTGTCCTTATAGTATGGTTGAGACACTCAGGTTAAGTGAAGATTTAAATCAATAGTGCTTAAAATAATTCTCTGTTAATTATGCAAATTCAACAAAATACTCTTTATACTTATGATTGTGAACTATTCCTGTTACTGAACCAGACCTGCCTGTTTTGCCTACCCCATTGTTTGCCAATCACTGCAGCAAGTTTTGCCAAGTGATAAAGAATTTATTTATGAGGTGGCCAATCATGTGGAGACAGGTGAGTTAGCTTCAAATCCACCTCCCTCAGTAGATGGGAGAAAGAGCGAGAGAGATTGAGATTGGAGAAGAGAGGGTTTGTGGAATAAAGGAGCAGGGTGCCCTAAGGCATGAGGAAAGGTGACTGGAAGTAAGTGAAAATGGAGTAATCACTGTGCTTGTGTAATCAAACTTGATGGCTTTTCTCAGGACTCATGTTCAGAAAAGGGCACATCAGGGTGCTGTAAGGTTGGAGTTTTGTACCTTCCGATAAAAAAGTGTCATTCATTGGACACTTGTGCATGCCCAAAGAAAGATCAGTGGTTTCATCTGATTCGAGAGAGAATCAAGCAGTCTCCAAGTTCCTGAAAACAGCTTAAGCAGTTTTCGACTTACACATCTACTAACTGCAGAACTAATGGAGTACACTGCTTAGCTATGTGACCTCTAAACTTGGTGACAAAAAGCAAGTAACTAAAACATGTGAAGCTAGCTAGAGAGTTTACTAAGGTTTCCCCTCAGTTTCATTCCTTCCCAGATTTCTCACATGTATATGTATTTTTGAATATATAAAGCCAGTCAGTGGATTTTAAAATTATGCTTACTTATTGTTCCACTGTAATACAAATCCAGACAAATAACTAGAATTTAGACAATTGCAGATTAAGGTGCAGTTTCATGGAATAGAAAAAATTTCTGTTATTTTTGTCATTAGTTATTTTATCCACAGAATAAAAGATGTTTCTTTTTTTTCACTTGGGATTAAAGAGTCAAAGAATGCCAGTGTGCGTAGAATGATACCAGTCATCATCGTATGAAACGACTAAAGTGAAATACTTATCTTGATTTTTTTTCTTTTCATCCTGCGCTGTGAACTTCTCCCTAGTTGTGGAAGTTTGAGGCACTGGTTGAAAGATATTTTGCAGCAATCCATATGCCTTCAGTGCTGCTGCTGGGTAGCAGTAGAAGTCACCTGGATCAAGCATAAACTGCACATCAGAGGTTTTTAACCTGGAGCCACTGGTGGCCATTAGGGGGCCCTTGGAAATAATATGCAAAATGACTTGTACATGCAGAATTTTTATTTGGTTGTTAAAGGGTCTATGACCCTAAGAAGATTAACTGTACTTTCCATTAACACTAACCTACTATAGACAGTACATAAAGCAGATTCATTGCAAATGATCAAAGGTCGATTAGGTAACCTTTTCTTTCCATCTCATAAAATGGCAGATTTGATATAAGAATTTCAATTTTTTTTGTTTCTATAGTTGATTTAAAGTACTTTTAAGAATAATTCCAGATATATAAATTTAATTTTCTCAGATTAAAAAATTAGCAAAGCATATTTTCATACCAAGCTGATTTAACACTGATTCTTGTCTAATCTGCACTTGATTTACTCAGCCATGCCAAGTAAATGCCCTTGTTGTTTCCACAGTGGTTATTGCATGGCAATTGAAAGGTAATCTCCACAACTGAAAACAGTGCAGAAATACTGTGATGCCAACAATAGGCCTTAACACCTCTGCAGTGTTATTGTTGCAAAATTGTTTTTGTTTCTAGGTGAGGACTTGAGCAGAATAATAATAAAAATAGCTAATTTTTATAGAGTATTTACCATGTGCCAAATACTTTGATAAGAACTTTGTCGCATTTAAATCTCACGTTAATGCCATAAAGGAGATAACTGTTGTTAACCCATTTTATAGATGAAAAATAGAGACAAAGGGAAATTGACAACCTTGCCCTAAGGGTAGTAAGGCAGTACAGAAGTATAGAGCCATAGAGTAAGGCACTATCCACTTTGACTGAGAGGCAGTGTAGATCTAAGGAGATGCTGCAGTCAGGGAGGCAGAAGGTAAGTTTAGTTCCATGAATGCCTCTCAACCTCAGTGTATCCTGCCATAGTATACAAGGCGGAAAGTGCCTGTCTGGACTATGTCTGTTAGATTTTCAAGGATATGAAGGTTACAAAAGCGCCCTCTGCTATGCCAGTTTGGGAATTGTTCATCTGGATCCAGCTGATTTCTTTCTGAACCTCAATTGGCTGGAGCTGGGGGCTCCCTTCTTCTGGTCCTGGGGAGTGAGGGGCTCTTCTACCCAAGTGGGCTACAACACGTATGGGCCAAGGTCTGCATGGGATGAATTGGGCTTCTCTGGCTTGTGGGGAGGTTATCAGGAAGAAATCCTATCTGAGCTCTTTATCTAGACTGGACATGGTGGTGCACACCTATCTTCAGAGGCAGAGGCAGGAAGATTTGGATTTGATGCCAGTGTAGGGCAAAGTTAGCGCAAGACCCTGTAAGGCTGAAAAACAAACTAAAAGCAAAGGGACTTGGGCATGGCTTAAGTGGAAGGAATGCTTGCCTAGCAAGTAAGCGGGGAGCAGAAAAAAAGTCATAATCTGTTGACTATCATTTCAATGAAGAATTTGTTCATTTGCATTTGTATTATTTTTGTTTTAGGATAGGCCTCATTTCAGTATATTTGAGATGGGTTTTTTGTCTTGCCTCTACTGAAAAGTAAAAATGTTTAAACTTTCTTCCTTAAGGTAATTATAGTGCTGACATATTTAATTTTTAAATTTAAATATTATTTTAAAATTTGGCTTTTTAAAATTAAGGAACGAGAAAAAAGAAAGCATGAAAGAATTTTGAGTGAAGAGCTTGTTGCTGCTGTGACCTACCTCAATCAGTTTTTGCCTCCAGAGCACACTATTGTCTATATCCCCTGGGATATGGCCAAGTACACTAAAAGGTTAGTGACACATCATCTGATTGTGATGGTCTCCTTTCCTTCTAGTAACAAACAGCAGGAGGCTCATCTCTTTGATAATGCTACTCTTTTAATTTCCTTCATGCAACTGCTGAGGGGCTGTCTTGAGTGTTCAAATGAATTGACTTGCCAGGCATGAGGACTCAAGTCTTTAATCCTAGATACTCAGGAGGCAGAGATTGGAAAGCTTGAGGTTTGAGGCAAAAAATTCACAAGACCCCATCTCACCCAATGGCTGGGCACTGTTGTGTCTGCCTGTCATTCCAGCAGTGCTAGGGAGCACAAATAGGAGGTCTGTGGTCTGAGCTAGCCAAAGCATGAAGCAAGATCCCATCTCGAAAATAATCAATGCAAAAAGGGCTGGCGGCCTGGCTTAAGTGGTAGAGCAGCTGCCTAGCAAGCACAAGGCCAAGTTCAACCCCAGTGCTGGTACAAAAATAAATAAATTGCCCATACTCTTTTTGCCTACTATTTATAGCATTTGCAAATTCTGATAAGTGTCCAGCTATTTCAAAAACATCTCTACTCTGTTGTTACTTAAAGGCATTGGTTTCTCTTTTTTCTGTTTCATTCTGTCTCTCTTATTTAAACTGTCTCAGACACGTTTTTAAATGATCTAACTCGGGGATGAACCTGCAGCAACTCTGTTTATAGTAAATCTCCTTAGTGTGATGCTAAAGTCTCATCAGCTGGGTGGTTCAGAATGTTATAACTTCTGATTTATTCCCAGGGCTGTTCTGTTTTGTTCCAGAAAACCTAATCTTCATGCCCTGTGCCAAATGTAGCAGTCAAGGTCCCATACCCTGAGCCTTTGTTCCTATTGCCTGCCCTCTGTGGGAACCTCTCTTTTATCAAAATGCATTTCTTCCAAGGAACTTTCTTTCCTTAAACCTGCATTGTCTTTTTACTTTGTTTACCATGCATCACACAAGCACTAGGTTTATTTTAATGTCATATTTGTTTAATGCTACTGTATTGTTTTGCACTTAAGTCACTTGTGCTTTTTTCTAAATCATTTTATGTAGTTGGATGAATATACTCACACCATACACTCACACGCACACACACTTTCCTAGAGTGTAAAGGTGGTTATGATTGTTACCATATTATTTTATTTTCTAATTTTTTCCTTCTCCTGCCACTAAAGTTACACAGTCGTTTTTTGAATGCATAGTGACTTGACTGATAGCTCTTGAGGAATGAAAGGCTTTGGGAGACGCTCCTGTGAGGATGGCCTATGCCAGGATTGAGGAATGCCAGTGTTTGATATTAAGTTACAAGTCCTTTAGGTCTCTTTTGCATCAAATGTTGTTAGTTATTGAGTACACATTATATTCCTATATTAATTATTATAGTATTCCTAAAGCCAAGAGATTTAAAAATTAAATCTTTGAATATTATTATTACAGACTTTCTTTGCTTTAGATATCAGAGTAAATAATACATTTAAACTTGGGTTCTTCTCACCTTTCTCATTTTTCCTTCTCTTTCCAGCAAGTTATGTAATGTTCTTGATCGACTGAATGTGATTGCAGAAAGTGTGGTGAAGAAAACAGGTTTCTTTGTAAACCGCCCTGATTCTTACTGCAGCATTTTACGACCAGATGAAAAGTATGTATGGTATTACAAAACTTAAAATAAATCATGATTTTTGTTCTTATAGATAAAAATATTCTAAATAGGGCCAGTTTGTACTTCTTGAAAGATGGATGAATTTAGCCCTTTGGAGAGCTAAGCTGCTTGGGTTACTGTGTAGTGAATGTTCACTGTGGGCCTGGGAATTCCTGTGGTGTTATACTTTGAAATGGAAGCCATAGGGTCTTAGCTCTTGCTTTGTGGAAATACACATTACATGAAATTTTTCTGTAAAGTAAAATTTTCTATAGCAGACTCTATTCAGTATTTAATAGGAACAGGGAAATTTTTTCTGCTAGATTAAATGACACTTATGAAAATAGATTTATCATTGTATTATAGTTATCTGCTCATAAATATTTCTTCATCACTAATTTGTGAGCTGCTTCAGATGAAATATCTGTGCCTTATTTATTTTTTAAGGCACCAATATTACATATTTCCTGAATTTTATTTTCGATTAATATAGTTAACTGCAATGGTCAAACAAAAACCAAGTTATTAGTGTGTATGTCTTTGGAAGTAGTCCTTTTGTTCTAGTTTGCATTTGTTATAGTTTGAATTTTAGAGCCTCTGTGGCAGGAATCTTTATGACCACTCCCAAGTTCAGTGATTCACTTGGAGGCCTCGGTGTATTGTGTACTCTGATTGTAACTTATTATGGTGAAAGGATACATGGTGAAATTAGCAAAGGGAAAAGGGGCAGGGATAAAGTCCAGTGAAAACCAGGCACAAGCTTCTGGAGTCTTCTCCCAGTGGAGTCACATAAAACACATTTAATCCCCCAGAAACAAGTGGTGACAGTGTGTGTCAACCAGAGAAGCTTGTTAAAGACTCGGGTACCAAAACTGCGGACTCCCGATAGGGAAGAAGGTATTCATCAAAAGCCATAGTAGTGTAGGCATCGCGAGCCACTCTTACTCGTTCTGGGAATGATGGGAGCCCTTCTAAAATCCAAGTTGCCTGATGCCTGTTGCTCTTTCCTGCCCAGCACTTTCTTTTAAGTAAAATAAACTGTTAATATGATAAACTATCTCACAACAAAACACATTCCCATGAGTTCATTAGTACATGCAGAAAATAAGTAGTCTCTATAAGGAGATGTGCAAAAACGGCCATAGGAATGTAACAAAGTGTTCATGAAGAAAAGCTGGAGGAGGTGTTGAGAGGAAAAGACTAAGGCATGGAAGATTTTATTAGAAAGATTCCTGATGATTATGCATGTCTACAGAGACTGTGCAAGAAATGGGCTTAAACAAAAGCAAGCAAGACTTTGGTTGACCGTGTGTGATACAATGCCAGAATGTGGGAACTGGGACAAATTAAGATGCTCCTTTTCCAGGCTCTCTTTGAAGAGAACATAGTGAGTGGTCTGTCTTTGTTATTTGCATATTCACTTGCCTGAAAGAATGAGAGTACAGAGACTTAGCTCATTGATTGGGTGCCTTCTGCTCTGTTACTTGGATTCTGTGATTCTTAACAAAGAGCTAGTACCAAAAATAAATACTTATTATGCTAATTTTTTTTTATAAAAAGCAAGGGGCTAGAGCTAAGTGGTAGAGCATGTGCTTAGTGTGCTTGAGGCCCTAGGGTCAGTCCTAGCACTGGAAAAAAATGTCCTTAAAGCATTTATTTTTAAACACAGGTGGAATGAGCTAGGAGGGTGTGTGACTCCCACTGGTCGCCTACAGGTATGGGCAATCTTATATTCAATGAATAGAATCTGTCTCCATAGTGCACAATGATTTCTGTAAGTAGCCATGGAGAGCTATACATCTTGTTTAATGCAGAATTATTAATCACTTAAGAATAATTTTTAGAGCCTTATTGCTAGTGTTTAAATCTTACGTGGATATGTGGCTGAAGTAATATGGCCCCTGATTTCTTTTCTGTATGTTGTTATGTTGTTAGAAATAAAAACACAAGTGGGAATGTGAAAATAATCAATTAAGAGAGGCTTTGGAAAACAAGTGAGTATACACTGTATTTGTTAACTATGCTTTAAGAATGGTCTGGCTTTAGCCACTGAATATTTGGGTTTATACAATAAAGAAAATATATCAGGAATTTTATGAATTGGTCCATGTGGAAATTGTAGCTATTTGCTTTATCTTGTTAATCTTTCAAAGAAGTAAATTTAGACTAGGTTTGATAATGTAGTTATGGCAATATTAAGTGAGCAGGAAATACAACCTTACATGATTTAAAAAACGTTCTTCATTATTTTAATCTTTAGCTTTACTGAATAATTAATATTTCTTCAGGAGTAACACTTGCCCACAGTTTTTCCTCTACCTCTTTAAGAAAAGGGTTTTCATTTACTGTGGAAGTGGTTTTGGTGACTGAATTATAACTGAAAATCTTAAGGCATTTCTCTTTAGACTGGCATTCTTCGAACCAACTGTGTGGACTGTTTGGATCGCACCAACACGGCACAGTTTATGGTGGGGAAATGTGCTCTGGCTTACCAGCTGTATTCTTTGGGGTTGATTGACAAGCCTAATCTACAGTTTGATACAGATGCAGTTAGGTAAGCCTAATTTCTGCTGTTTGGATGCCAGCAATGAATGACAGAAAGCAACCTGATTAATAATAAGAACTTTTAGCTTCTCAATGATTATGTTGCTAGAAGACAGTATTTGAATTAATTCTGTGACAAATATTTCTATTAAAGATTTGTGTAAAGATTTGCTTGTGTTATGAATATTTTGTAGATAAATCCCAATGGTTTATACAAGCTACTAGTTTCTTTAAAAATCCAGATGGCACTGGATTGTACTGTGCCTTCATACATTTTGAGTTAAAAATATAAGATGTATAAAAGATGGATTCTTCACCGAGGATTACTGTTTCTTTACTGACAAGTGACTATGACATTGCCTGCAATACTATTTTTTTGAAAATAAAATGATAGCTGTTCTTGGTCATTTTGAGATTTTCGCAAAGGCTCAGCTGAGGAAGTAACCAGCTTACACGTGCCAGATCCACAGATATCATTGAGCTTGAAGAAACACTATTTTCAAACACAAACATATTTCTAAGAAAGACTATGGTTTATCTGTGTGCTTTGGTCAGAATGTTTGTGTCTCTCAAATTTATCTATTGAAATCCTTACCCCCAAAGTGCTGGTATTAGGAGGTAGGGCATGTGTGAAGCAGTTAGATCTGAGAATGGAATCCTCATTACTAGAATTAATACCCTTTTAAAAGAGACCACAGAGAACTAGCTATCCACATCCTCATGTGAGGACACAATGAGAAAGCACCATCTCTAAACTGGGAGGTGGCCCTCATCAGACACAAAATCTGATAGCTCCTTTGTCTTGGACTTCACAGCCTTCAGAACTGTGAGAAACAAATGTTTGTTGTTTATAAGCTAGGCAGTTTATGATATGTTGTTATACCAGCCTGAATAGAGTAAGGTACTGTCTACAACAAGAGCGAATCTTTTTTTCAAAGGTAATTCAAGAGAGAATAAAATTTGGTCATGGGAGATAAATTGATCTGGCAGGCCATAGAACCTTAGGAGTCTTTTTAATATGATTAGAAACAACTTAGTCTGGCTTTGATGTGCTGTATTTTGGGTGCTCTTACTTTCTTTTTAGTGTTTTCTGTAACCTTTACACTTACTGGAATATCATTATGAAATATTACACATTTACATTTATTTTCAAGATGGTGAGGGGTTTACTTGAAAGGCTCAGAAGAATTCATAAAACAAAAGACTTGTTCTGAGTCTGTGACTAAGTGAATGACTTGTGCAGTAATTTTGGTAAAATTCATTAATGTGTTTTTCTTCTGCTTAGGTTATTTGAGGAACTCTATGAAGATCATGGTGATACCCTGTCCCTTCAGTATGGTGGTTCTCAACTTGTTCATCGAGTAAAGACCTACAGAAAGATAGCACCGTGGACTCAGCACTCAAAAGACATCATGCAGACTCTGTCTAGGTATTACAGCAATGCTTTTTCAGGTAATTCTGAAGTAATAGGTATTTCTAAGACTTACCCTGAATAAACATTTTGAATTTTAAATACAGCACATTTTCATTTTGACACTTGTGGTTGCAGTTTTTATATAATGCAACATGCTTTGGTTCCTTGGCTTCTGTCTCCTTTTTTAGGTCTACTTGTATTGTATGTATAAATTTGTCTGGGGTATTGAATATTTTTTCAAATAGGATTCAAAATCTTGATAAGTACCTAAGAACATAAATATTACTAATACTTTAAAATGTCAGCTAGAAATGGATATGGTAAGAGTAGCATTAAATTATACTTCTTTTATGACTTGTTAATACTCAATGTAATAGGTTGTTATAATGGTATTTTTCTTGTATCCATTCTGGTGCCTTTCCCAATACAATAGATATCACAAACCAAAGTGATTGTGAGAAAAATGTTCATGTGCAAAGGAAGTACTTAATGATCCATTCCATTTTGAACAAATTAAGGATAAAATGTTCAGTGTGGAGAAGATGATTGATAAAGAAGTCCTTTGGAGTGAACTATCGCCTGCATGCCTATTACCCATCCCCACTCACATGATGGAAAGGAAGGGCTTCAGTGGCACTCTGGGTAAGCCTGATGTGCTGTCCTCCACTGGAGGGACCCCACACATTGGCTGTGGGGATGTGGACTGCTGTACAACACATCTGTAGCAGAGGGGTGGCCAAGGAGAGTGCTACCAAGATGAGAACCTCCTGTACTGCTGAAGTTGGTTGGGCCACAGGATATTTGAATGTTTATTGGTAACCAGATGTGGACCTCATGGAGGAGACTATCAGCATTGGGTTGGCCTGGATCCTGGCCAATAAGGCCCCTTGAGGGACAGAAAGACCCTAGCAATAAGAACCAGGAGGTGAACACTGGACATCTAAGGAGCTAAGGAAGGAGCTACAAGAACTTCCTGATTAAAAATACTGCATGTGCCCATATCAAAGGAATTGCAAGACAGTCTCCAGTAATGGGAGCCCCAGCGGCATCCAGAAAGCATCCACAAGGGACAGCTTCTGGGCCCAGAATGAATGAAAGTCAACCTTTTATGCCCCTGTTCCTGTTACTTTTCTATGCTGCTCAATAAATTACTATAAACCTTGCAGCTTAAACTAGTGCACCTTATGTCACAGTTTCTATTGATCAGAAATCCAGATACAACTTAGCTGACTTTTCTGCCTAGGATCTCCTAAGGCTTTAGTTATGAAGTCAGTCTGGCTGACAAGCCTTCTTTGGAAAGCTTGGCTCTGAATGGATCCATCTTCTAGCTGGAGTGCTTATTGGCAGAATTCAGTTCCTTGCAGTTCTTTGTGGCTATAGGACTCAATAGCAGCTTGCTTCCTCTCAGGTGGCAAAGGAAAGAGTCTGTAAAATGAGGCTGCTAGCAAGACATTCTTTTGTGAGGTAAGGTCACTGTGGAAGTGACATCCCATCATCTTTGCCATATCCCACTGGTCAGAAGCAAATCACAGGTCCCACACATATTCAAGGGAAATGTGTGTCAGTTTCTGAAGGCTGCTGTAACAAAAGAGTATCATGTGATGACTTAATACTACAGAAATTGATTATCACACAGTTCTGGAGGCTAGAAGTCTAAAATCAGTGTCAGTAGGGCAACTCTCCTCAGGAGGATCCTGACTAGCTCTTCGTAGCTTCTGATGGCTACTGGCAATCCTTGTGTTCCTTGACTTTCAACAGTAACACTTGAGTCTCTGCCTTTGTTGTCACGTGGTAGTCTCCCTTCATGTCTGTTTTCAAGGCTTTCTCCTGTGTCCTCTCACTTCTTATGAGGACACCAGCCATACTGAATGAAGGGCCTTCTCAACTACAGTGTGATTGCACCTTAAAGTGACTATATCTACAAAGACCTGTTTCCATATAAAGTCACATTTACAGGTACTGGGGGTTAGAGCTTATCTTTTTGGAGACACAACTTGGCACACAAAAGTTGTGGGGAAAGTGAAAGGGTATAATTATAAGTCATGCACTAATAAGTACAGCTTTTTTCTAGGTGTGTGTCACCCAGAAAAAGGTTTAGAAATGCCCTTATGGATAGAGCAACTGCTCTTCTGCTCCTCTCCTATCTTCATTGTCCCTGTAATGGGGATCATTATTGACACTTAAGGACCAAGGCTTTTTTATAGGACTAGAAGAAAAAAAGAATGAGTGTGTAGCTATACCTAATTTAATGAGGAAGGCATAATATTAAAAGGTAATGATTGTCATGAGAAAGCAATATGCATATATACAAAGGTAAGGCAAAAGTATGCACAACTGAAAGATGAGCTATGAAAGGTATTATGAATAATGTGGCTAAAACAGACTTCTTTATTTTAAGAAGCATGGTGTCATTGGAGTGTATGCCTTACTTTAAAATTACAGTGGGTATTATATAATGATAATATGGAACAATTTTATTTAAAGTATTCAAAGTATTTAAGATAACTGCAAAACTTAATCAGTCTCCTCATGTCATGCCTCTGGGGTAGTAAGGAAGATATTGATTAAGAAACTAGAATAATGAAACCAAATGTGGTGGTACATGCCTGTAATCCCAGCACTCAGAAGCAAAGGCAGAAGAATTGCAAGTTCGAGGTCAGCCTGGGCTACATAGTGAGTAGAATAATGAAATTAGGTAGTTAGGAATATTACCCTTAGTTACCCTTACCCTTGGTTTGTTTGTTGGCAGTTTAAACTTGGGGCCTTGCGCTTGTTAGGCAGGCTCTTTTACTGCTTGAGCCACTCTGCTGTCTCTTTTCTGTGATTTTCTTTTTCTTTCTTGAGATCGGGTCTCTCAAACTATTTGCCCAGGTGGCTTCAAACTGCGATCCTCCTGATGTCTGCCTCCTGAGTAGCTAGGATTATAGGCATGAGCCCCTTGGTTTGTTAGACAAATAGATGCTATGTGGGCAACTCACTTGATCCTCTTTCAGGCTTCTTTTAAAAACTGTTCTTAAAGCTAGGTACAGTGGTGATGTGTACCTGTAGTTCTAGCTACACAGGAGGCTGAGGCAAGATGATCACTTGAGCTCCTAAGTTTGAGGCTAGCCTGGACAACATAGCACAACCCCATTGTTAAAAAAACTAAAAGCAAGGGAGGAGAGGAACAACAGAGGGTGATGGTGGATAAATATGATTGAAGTACATTGCATACATGTATAAAAATGTCATAATGAAACCCATTTTGTAAAAAGAAAATACATGTGAAATTAATGAGATAATAAATGAATAAACAAACAGGAAAACTGTTCTTGAGGCCTCACACTGTGTCATGCTCTGGAGGCTGTCTCCAGGGAGCATTTTTGGTTTCCAGCATAAATGGTTGCCTAGGCAGGTGGAGGATGCCTTATCAGAAACATGTTGGTACCTGGGCACTCCCCTCAGATGTTAGGAGGAACTTTGAATTCCCTTAAGAACCTTGTTGAGCTGCTTCTAATTTGTTCCATACACTCAAATTTTATAAGTTTGGATTTTCTTGCTGAAGCTTGTTGAATTTAAATCCCATTATAAGAAAAAAAGTTAATAATAGAACTGTATATATGTATATATATATATACATATATACACCTATGCATACATATATTTATATACATATACCCCACAAGTGTATGTGAGTATAATTTAAATGTAGTGAATGCATGTGTATGCATGCAGGAGAACCATGTATTCCTCAAACAGATTTTTTTTTAAATACAAGAAAATCTCAGTTCTAGAGAAGTGATCACCAAAGAGGGAGCTGAGCTGGTCCCCTAGCATTATGAAGTGCTCTGGGGTACTGCGGTAGTTGCTTTCCCTTTCTGCTCTGTTGAAAGAGGGACATGCACGAGGATGTGCTGAGAAAAATTTAATTTGTCGAGAATATTTATATAGCCTAAGGTCATCCTTCAAAGAGCAGATTTTAACTAAGTTGCATTTGGCTGTAGCAGAAAGAAAACAAATAGAAAAATGTTTTAATAGCATTTTCAATAACATTGATAACTTAGCTTAAAACTCTACTCTCTTAACCTCTCCTACAACCAAAGCAGTTGAACATGACAGTAAAAAAGCTACAAGTTTTTACTCTCAGTTTAGACTGACTGCAGTTCTCCAAAGGACTCAAAAAAGCCTAACAAGCTGAATATGGTGGGGCATGCCTGTAATCCCAGGTATTAGGAGAGGAGGAGCACAAGTTCAAGGCCAACCTGGGAGACCCTATCTTAAAAACAAAATAAAAAAAAAAGCAAAAAGGACAGGAGTTGTGGTACAAGTGGTAGAGTATTTGCTAGCATACATGAGGCCATGGGTTCCCTCAGCATTGCAAAAATAAAACTACTTCACCTTGACAGTCTTACTATGTTTCCCCAGTGTGTTCATTTGCTTACTCTCCAAAATGGCCATTTTATGCCTGTCCTCTCCTCAAACCTACAATCCCCAATCTCAGCTCCTGACCTTGGCTCGTACCTCACTGAGAAAATAAAGGTCATTGGAAGGAGACTCCTTTTTACCACCAAATGCAAAAGATGTCCCTATCTGCAGTTACCCTGTGTTACAATGTGTGGAGTGTCCCTGCCCAGTTTGATGCTAGGCCCTCTGCTGTGTTTCGAATCTTGCCCACTTGTTTTCTCCTGCAATACACACTCACTGCTGTCTGTGCATCACCACTGTCTCCCTCTTTACTGCATCACTTCTATTAACTTGAAAGCACACCTAAGTGCATTCCATCCAACCTTCCATCTCTCTGATCCCACATCCCCTTCCAGCTACAATTCTAGTTCTCTGCTCTACTGAGCAAAACCTCTTTAAAGAGTTGTACATGCTTGTTTTCTGTATTCTCCACTGGACATCTGCCCTATTATGACACTTATCAAGGTCACCAGCAGTCTCCACATTGCCATGTCCACTTGTTGCTTTTCTTTCTCCATTTTACTCAACCATTAAACAACTTTTATCTTAGCTGACCGTTCGCTCTTTTAAATAACTCTCTTTTATCTCTTTCTGT